TACAATGCCTACATCTTCTGTCTTATCTAGATCTTTCTCGAATATCCATATCGCAATGAATTCGATTGGATTTTGGACGACCACGCTCCCTCAATAAACTCAGATTTGGTACAATCGGAAGCCAATCTTGAACCTCATCAGGGTCTTTGTCATTACCTATGGGGGAAACTCAAATTCGTATATCTTAAAAACTTCAGATAGTAGGTATACGGGATCCACAAAATGGTTATAGTCTTGACATGTATGCGAGCAAGCTGCTATCACATGAGAGCATGAATACTTAAGAGCTTGAAAAAACCCGCAGTCGCACGTTCTATCCCTTAGATTTACTCTTAACGACATAGCTTCAATCATTTGAAGAGGTCGCGGTAACTCTGTGACATGAAACATTTCATGCCTTCTAGAGAAGCTTGTTACAGACATTCCATTTGATGCAAAAAAAAATTTCTGTAGATCTGCAACTAATCTAGGGTGATAGACATGATCGCCTTGCATCCAGGTTTGAGCTTGTCCCCCGAGCTTTGTAAAAAGCGCCCCAAACGAAAATATGTAGTATTTACCAAAGTCGCTACTGGTAAGTGACGTACACCCTTTAAAGTTGAATTGATTGCCTCTACCAAGTTGGTCTTCATGTGTCTATATCGATATCCACCATCATATGCGTTCGTCCATATTTCTTTATCGATGAGGCTGATGTAATCGTATCCTTCCTCGTTCTTCGCCCGCAAATCTTGAAGCATTGATTCAAACGTTTGAGGAAGTAGTTCGTAACCTGATCAAAAAATGTATAACTTACTAACTTGCTTTCTTGCAAAATTAAAAATGATCGAAAGAAAACAAACTACATCAGTTTCACTTACCCATGTGCACAATTAATTGACGCTCATCATTCTTCTTGTACCTTCCATGGTAGTTCGCAGCAATGTGTCGGAGACAATACCTATGTTGGACAAAGGGTGGTTGCCACATTGGACCCAAAGACTCCATTGTTTCTTTGATCACAGCTCCACGATCTGAAATAACACAGATGTTTCCCTCGTGATAACATGTGCACATAAATTTCGGAGGAAAAAAGCCCAAGAATCTGTATCTTCTCATTCGACAAGAGCAAAAGCAACTGGAAGAATGTTGCGGTTGCCATCTTGGACAACTGCCAATAATAAAACTTGATTGTATTTTCCATTCAAGAAAGTCTCGTTGATCTGGACCACAGGCTTGCAGTATTTGACAGCATTAACGCACTGTGGGTGAGTCCAAAAAACTCGGTAGAATTGGTATCGATCTCGGAGAACTCGATCATTATGGTATGCATAAGAGGTTTCGAAGTCCACAATTGTCCCAGGATTCAACCTCCGCACCAGCCTAAACCAGCCTGGAAGTTCGTTGTAAGATGCATCCCATTCGCCATGAAGTTTGACAATGGCATTTTGTTTTACCAACCAAGCTTTTTTATAGGAGACAGTGTACCCATACTGCGATTGTATAGCTGAAATCAACACAACAACAGCTATATGAGAGCTTGCTTTTACCATGGGCATGATGGCTTGGCATATCACTTCAGAGTCCAAGTTGGGATGATCTTGGTTGACCCCTCCAGCACAACATGTGTGAGGACCGTTGTATACTGTTAGTTCACATCTGTTGTTTTTCCTCTTCCTTTTCGATACGCGAACCATCCAATTATATCCATTTTCGCGTCGGGCACAGTAGCATACATATTTTTCTGTCGTGGAGCAGTCGACTCTTGATTGAACAGAATTATGGATATTGTAATTTTTTATAACAATCATCGCTTCTTCTTTGCTTGAAAACTCCATGCCTAAATATAACTCACCATTATTTATTGATGAGTAATATCCATAGTCACCGAGATGAGGCATATCCGCAAATTCTGGCCCATACATTGCACTATAATCAGCTTCATACATGTGTGCTGGAGGGTCAGTTTGTGTCACATTTGCTGGAACTTCATCCACATCATCATCATCATCGGAGTTGAATTGCGGTGATTCTGGGTGAATGAATAGTCTAATCTCAGCACCATCCACACCAGGCTCACAAAGCGGTTCTTCTGGTAGAGATGATTGTTCCTCCATGTTCTCCACATTTAGGTCGAAGAACCTAATACTTGCATGTCTTCCCCTTGAACTGGAAGGCATATCGACATTCAGATCGAAAAAGCTCGCAGTCGAATGCCTCCCCTTGGAGCTTGAAGTCATCGTGTCAAATGGAAACTGCACAGATAGTTGCGTTGATGTCATCTCCATATTAAGGTCAAACGGATTTGTAGATGAATGCCTTCCCCTTGATCTAGATACGATGTTGCCATACGGATTGCTCATCGACCCACCTCGGTACATATCGTAAGGAGTTACGGATGAATGTCTCCCCATTATGGCATTAAAATCATTACACATTACTGTCGTCGGACTGTCAACTTGATCAACTTGTTCAGCCAGCCCATAGTGGGAGCTTAATGATTGACCCCGAACGACACGCACTTGAATAAAATTTGCATACATCTCAATATCGACGTCTGAATAATTACTTTGAGCTTCAACCATCATTTCAACATCATCATTGTTCAAAAGTTTGAACGCTGTATAAGTTAATGGCAACAATGATGTTGGAAATCTGTACTGCAACGACGACATTCTTCTACTACTTCCAACATGAATCTTCCTCGAAATCTTCGTTATCAGCTCATCAAGAGTTATGTTTCTCTTCAATGATATTTTAACACGCTCATTTGATACGAAAACAACGCCGATTTCATCTTCTCAAAATTTCACCATCATAATAAACAATAGCTTAAAGTCGGGCCATTCTTTGAGTTTAAAAGTGCGGCAATATTATATCTGTAAAAAAAACAACTGAAACAATGTTGATTAAATAAATAATATATGAACAAAAATATAACATAATAAATTTTTTTACACATAAACGTAAATAATTTAAATAATATAATTTTATATTATTACATGTACTGCAAAACTATTTCGACGTATATTCCCGCTTTCTAATTTTACAAACACAGAAATTAATTGACAACAATTAGTATAATATTTTTTCAAATAATCATAATAAACAATAAATATAATAAAAAATTATCACAAAATTACCTTATAACGAAAAATCGCACAAACTTCTGAATAAAATATGAGAAAATTGTCAGAATTACTGACTCGTTGACGGAATTGTTGTATTAATTTATAAGTTGAGAGGAGAGATGTGAGAAGATGTGAGGAACTTAACCCAGGGGAGAAGGATATTTATAACCGAGAAAAGTTGTAACAATTATACAAGGCGCGGTACCTACCCCGCGCTATATATAATTATAAAGGTCAGGCGAGGCCCCTAACCCGCGCTATACCCTACGTGGCGTAAGGCGCGCCCCAGGAGCCGCACTATACCCACATGTAATCCATGTCAGCATAAGGCGCGCCTTACCCCACGTGACGCCAAATCAATGTATAACACGTTGCAGGGGGCGCGCCTTACTGCAAAGGGTGTTAGATCAAAAAATATAATCTGATCGATGTTAGATCGATAAATATAACAATCACCAGTGATTTTTTGGGGGGAAAAAACCCATTTCTGGGCACTTTTACCCTAAAGTATTAGCAAAAAATAAAATAAAATATTAGCCATAAAAGATAGATATAAGAACATAAATATTAAATATATAGTTTATAAAGAAAATGGAAGTCCTTATCCTAATCTCCCAATGTCCTTGCTTTGTACTTGTCACTGTACTCCAATGTACCTAGTCTAGGGATAGACGAGAAAGAGGCGGATGGACACAATTGTCTCTTTTAAAAAAATAATTAATATATATTTTAAATTGATAATATAGTTTTATCTTTTAAAGTTTAATGTCTAGATTTGTAGTATTTTAAAGTTTAATGACACAATTAATACTCATAATAAAATTCATGGGAAAGAAACACCCACTATATCACACAGTTAACCATTTAACCGGTCAATGTTCTAATTAAATTCGAGATTAAAGTTCAACATCAAAATTAAAGTAATTTAAAATTTAATGGTAAAAATACATGAAACCTAAAATTCAATGATATTTTGTATTCAATAATTGGATGACCAAAACGGAATCACATGAATAAGTAGGTGACTAAATATGTAGTTTATCTATTATTATCTTATAGCCGTTAAAAAATAAATAGAAATATTGATGTGATAATTTTTTATTTTATTTTCAATGATGATGTGACATTACCTTATTGTGATATGTCAGCACCATTGTTAGTTTCTTAACGGTGTGTGACTAAAACGAAACCGAAACATAATATTATATATGATTTTAAAGAAAAAAATAGTTAGATGACCAAAACAAAATCATGAAAATAAGTGGGTGACTAATACATAGTTTACATGCTATTATTATAAATAAATAAACTACTATGTGGTGATCTTTTTTATTTTATAATGGTGATATGACAATATCTTATGATGACACGTCAATATTATCATTAATATTTGAACAATGAGTGACTGAAATAGAATCAAAATGTAACATTAAATATAATTTAAACAAAAAAGTTGGCGACTAAAACAAAACCACAAGAATAAGCGAGTGACTATATACATGATTTACCCATTATTTTTTAGCCATTAAAAAATAAACAAAAATATTGATGTGGTAATATTTTAGTTTTTATTTTTAATGAAGAATTGATATTATCTTATATTAACATATTAAAATCATCGTTAATTTTTTAATAATATATAATTAAAATATAACATTTAATATAATTTAAAAAATAATTAAATAATCAAAACATAATCTAAAAATAAGTATACGACTAAATATGTATTATTTTGCAGCTCCTGGAAGAAACAAACGTGTTAACTGCCTTTCCCGTGAATGCTCCACCTTTCCCTCCCATCTCACCGAATATTCCTCTCAACGATCCCTTGCTTCTTCCTCTATATATCCCCCTCTCAAACCCTAAAACAAAACAAAAAAACCCATAAATTTCCACCAAATTAGTGAGAAACCAACATCCACAAAAATGTTGAGCGAATCATTGAAGAACAAGTACCAGCCATGCGAAGAGATCGGCCGAGGCCGTTTCGGCGTCATCTCTCGTGCCTTTTGTCCCATCACCCAATCATCCTTCGCCTGCAAAACCATCGACAAACGCCTCCTCTCCGACCCCACCGACCGTGAATGCCTGGAAAACGAGCCCAAGATCATGACCCTTTTGTCTCCCCATCCCAACATTGTCAAAATCCACGACTTGTTCGAATCGGAAACCACCGTCCAACTCATCCTCGACCTCTGTCAGCCGGTCACCCTATACGACCAGATCCTCCAACGCGATCTGTCCGAACGCAAGGCCGCTTCTTACACTCAACAGCTCATGTTGGGTCTGGCTCATTGTCACAGGTACGGCGTCGTTCACAGGGATATCAAACCCGATAACCTTTTTTTCGACTTCAGGGGGAATTTAAAGATTGGCGATTTCGGTTCCGCCACATGTTTGGGGGAACTCGGCACCTCCCATGGATTGGTGGGTACGCCGTATTACGTCGCGCCGGAGGTCGTCATGGGTAGGCCTTATAACGAGAAGGTCGATGTTTGGAGCGCCGGCGTCGTTTTGTATGTCATGTTGGCCGGCGTTCCTCCGTTTTACGGCGAAACGGCCGAGGAGATTTTCGAAGCAGTTTTGAGAGGGAACTTGAGGTTCCCTTCGAGGATTTTCAGGTCGATCTCTGCCGAAGCTAAAGACTTGTTGAGGAAGATGATTTGCAGAGACGTTTCCAGGAGATTATCTGCAGAACAAGTCCTGAGTAAGTTCTTGAATTTTTAATCTCTCTGTCATTTTTTCATATCGAAAATCAATTAAACAAAAAACCCCAAACTTTTTCATAAAAAAAGTGAATCAAATTGCTAAAAAGAATCTATCTTTTTGTGAAATGCAGGGCACCCATGGATCTTGAATGGAGGAGAAACAATTTCAATGGATTGAAAAGAGCAGGGAATTATCATCAGTCAAAAGAATACCATAAGTAAAAAAAGAGCTTATCAATGTAAATATAAGCCTATCAAAAGGGTCCCCCAAGCTTTCCTCTTTACCAAGCAAAAGTCACAGTCCAGTTTTCCAGTGCCATGGAGTTTTCTTCACATGGTGGGGACCATCAACCACCATGAACCTACCAGTCTTCCATTAATATCAAATTTTGGTATCTTTCTTCCTGTTTTGCTGTTTGGTTGAGCAATATAGAGTGTACATAGATAAAATACAGTAGGCTTTGAGAACTCCACCTCCTGTACTTATGTTTTTGTTAATGAGTATGAAGGAAGCGAGACATATGAGAATCTCTTGTAATCATCTTCTTTTTTCTTTTTATCTGAGAAAATTTAAGTACCTAAATAAATTTTAAGTTTTGGTATCTGATTTTGATGGGACCTTTTTCTGGGAATCTTGAACTGTCCATCTTCTTTGTTTTGATGGATTCAACTTCAGAATACTGAAACAACATATTGGCTATGGGAATCTGCAGATTTGTTGTAATTGTCAAGTGCCAGCTGACTTATTCTTCCATATTGACATTTGACAATTTATGTATGTGAAATGAAATGAAAGATTTCGCTTGCAAATCTTTTTCAAAGTCATTTGTAGAAGAAGCTTGCCACTAAAGAATCAAAGAGCAAGCTTTGCATGTTAGCATATGCTTGGTTTATTCCCTTTCTTTTTTGTATTGAGTCCATTTAGTGGTACCAGTGAATCTATAGCGATTTCTATATCCTTCGATTTTTATAGTCCATCGTCTGATGGGGATTGGAACTAAATTATAGTGCTACACTCGTCATTTTTTCATGATTCATCGTTCGAATTGATCGTATGTTCACTGGAGCTATACCACATCAGTTCGTCTGTTAAATTTTTAATAACGAAGTATTAAAATGAAGTAAAAATTAAATATTATGTATAATTATGAAGAGAAAAAAATAAGTACTAAAACGAATTAAAATTTATTTAGGTTACTAAACCCAAAGTTTACAGATATTTCAAAATTAAATTTGAATCCCAATGCAGATAATACCAGGACTATAATATTTTATTTATGAAGATAAAATGTTCAAAATTAAAAGGCAGGAATCTTTAACATCTGGCATGTGAAAGTGGGAAAATAAAAAATGCAAACCAGGTTAGGTTTGAAGGCGGGAAATACTCACGTGCGGCGTTTAATATACGGCTAAAAAAATGGTACCGATTTTATTATTGTTATGTATAATAAAATTAGTAAAAATTATCGTAAACATTATTATTTCTACTGATTTTATTATTATTTTGACATTTTACCAGGTTTCTTAACAAAACCGGTAAAAACGTTACCGGTTTTGTTATTGTTGTGCATAACAAAACTGGTAAAAAATATCGAAAACATCATTATTTCTATTGGTTTTATTATTATTTTGACATTTTACCGGGTTTCTTAACAAAACCGATAAAAGCGTTATCGGTTTTGTTATTTTTTTTACCGATTTTGTTATTGTTAGGCATTTTACCGGAAATGTTAAAAAACATTGATGTTTTAGGTAGAAATAATAATGTTTTAGATAATTTTTACCGGTTTTGTTATGTCCAACAATAACAAAACCTGTAAAAATAGACTTTTTAACAAAACCGGTAAAAATTACCGGTAAAATAGACATTTAAAATTATATCGATCACAAAAACATCAAAACTGATAATTATAATGTAATAAGTAAATTTGAAATGTTACCGGTTAAATATACCGGTTTAGTTAGAAAATAGGTCAATATAAGCGCTATCTAATATAAGCGCTACATAATATGTTATTGTACTTGATAATATTTCCGACTAAATATCTATTTTATTATATAAGCGCTACCTATTACATTATATAAGCGGTACCTAATATGTTATTGTACTTGATAATATTTTCGGTTAAATGTCAATTTTATTATATAAGCAATGCCTATTAGCGCTACCTAACATGTTATTGTACTTGATAATATTTTCGTTTAAATGCCAATTTTATTATATAAGCGCAGCCTATTAGCGCTACCTAATATGTTATTGTACTTAATAATATTTTCGTTTAAATGATATAACATAACCGATATAAATTTTAACCGATCATTTATTTAATCAATCACGTTAAATTATTAGCTTTTTTAGCAGAACTTCCCTATGAAAGCAAGTTGCAGTATCCACTACACAAATATTTTTAATTAAAAAATAAAAATAAAATATAATTATTCCTACACGACAATGTTGTCATTCAATTTTCTGTTCATGTGTCTTTGAAAATTTAATTTTTTTAAAAAAAATTGGTAAAAGGATTCCCATTTAGGCATAAAGTAATATACTATTAATCAGTGCAGTAACATATCAGCACGTAGTTGATATAATATACTTATAAGGTTTCACATGCATAGCACATGACATCTTTGATAACTTATCACAGTTCTTGTTGATCACATAAATTGTTAGGTTTTTCCATATCTTATATCATCTTTTGTGTGTAATTAATTATATGTTGGTTCAGTTGAATAAGACTCATCCGAGTTTAAAAATTATTGAATAGTCTCGAGGAGTTATAAGATAATATATATTTTGATTCTTTTTTAGTTTATGAATAACGTATATAATATACACACATTATGAAGATAATTGTTTAAATCTTAGTTTTCTATGTAGGGGTGAACAAAATTCGACTCGACTCGATTCATAATTTCATAAACTTAACTTGATTAGACAAAATTCAAATTCGAGTTATAAAATATAATTCAAATAAGTCGAAATTTTTGGTAATTAATGGATTGATTTTCAAGTTTGAGTCGAGTCTCTCAACTCTGCATTATATGTATATCACATATGAAAAAAATGAAGAAACATATATGCATATTGTATATGGTTATAGAAAATCATTTAAAATGAGGTTAAATAGTATCATAATATTATAAATATTTAGAATTAAATTTAAACAGAAACTCGAATAATTCAATTCGACTCAATTTTCATAAACTCACCTCAACTCGAAAAAAATTTAAATATAGTCTAAGTTATAAAATAAGACATGTCAACTCTAATAACTCAATTTTTTTTACTAGACTCGATTGAATGCTCACCTCTACCTCTATAAATAACAATGTTCTCTTTTACCATTAAGATCATTTAACGAGTTTAGTTAATAATTATTCTCACCATACAAACACATATGTTCAAACTTGAATCTTATAATAAGAATAATATCCTCCTTTATCACGAATTTCGGTCAATAAATTCAACTCATTCACATATTTAATCACTTGTTTAAGACTAGTTATGAATTTTAAATATAAATACTTAAGATTAAAGAGATATATATATATATCAAGTGGAGGGACCAAAACAAAAGGAAGAGGGGGAGATAGTTAATTTCAATTACTTCTGGGAATAAATTTTCTCAGTAACCAAACATGTACTTTAATCAACATATCCATTCATCAATGAAAGAGAATAGTGCCCAAATGCATGAATGCCATGTGCCAACTGCAAAATTTAGGTCCCTCCCATGTGTGATGCCACACTTTTTGAGTTATTTGTGGTTGCCATGGACTCGACCATTCATGGTCTTTGTCCATATTCATGACTCCTTCTCTCTTCGATACTACTTTCTTGATTTAATTGGCTAAGGCTAAATTATTAAATAATACATTCTTAAATTTTTTTACTAAAATAATATTTAAAAAACTTTATTTTTTAAAGTAACATCTGACGAAGACATGTCTACGTGACGATACCTTTTGAAAGGATATTCCTTAAGAAAATGTCTTTGTTTACATGACAAGTTACTTGAAGTATAAACATAATTTATGTTTTGCATGTGACATATTACGTAAAAGATGCTGTCATGTAGGCATGCTTTTATCCTATATGGCAAAAATAAGTGTCATTATAGAAAATAAAGTTTTTTTAATGTTATTTTAGTTAAGAAAATAAAACGATATTATTTTAATAATTTAACCCTTCCTTAAATTGGTCTAAAATACATAAAACGGAATGCATTTTTTTATTTATTATTTTTATTTAATCATTTTTATTTTATTTATTGATCAATTATTCGAAATAGATACTATATTATTCATCATAAAGACGATTCACTCAATTCAGTTTGTTTCGTCCACAACGTCAAGATTTAAATATCTAATTCTACTTGAAAAATATAACACATATCTCACTAGACTAACTGACTGTTATTAATCAAATTTATTTATCATAATAATATAAAATAGGATAAAGTACACAAATGGTCCCTTAACTATAGAATAATGCTTTGTTGAGATCCAGACTATTAAAAGTTAGAAAATAGTCCCCTGACTATGGGATTTTGCTTTGTTGAGTCCTTTGACTATTAAAAGTTATAAAATGGTCACTCGACTATTTATTATGTTCTAAACTCTTTCCTTTTTGTTAAAGATTTAATGGTTGTTTAAGTTGGACGTGAACATGTTGATTGAGATATGATAGCCGTTTGAGATTATGAAATCAATTTTTTTAATAGTCGGGTGATCATTGTACCTTTTAATAGTCGGGGACTCAACAAAGCAACACCTTATAATCAGGGGATCATTTTGTAACTTTTAATTGTTGATGAACTTAATAAAATAGCATCTTACAATCAATGAACATTTGTGTACTTTACCCTATAAAACAATAAATTCATAAAAATGGAAAACAAAAATCATTAAAACAATATGTTTTGTGAAAGAACGAGAATATATAATTTTCTGTCAATAATATTTGATGATTAAAAGATTGTATCTTTTTAAATTTCTGTTAACTATTGAAACATACACTCTATAGACGTTGCTACTTGAACCCAAGATCTATAGAAAAAATAATATATTGTTTATCATTGAGGTCGTTTAATGGGTTCGAATATAGAAAAGATGTTAAAATCTAATAATTTAAAAGAAAAATAGTGAAGAAAGGGGCAGACATAAGTGGTTGAGGTAGGGGGGACAGTATCTGTACACATTCATTAAACAAAAT